CTTTGATTCATCCACAGCAGCATATGATGAACGACTTCAGTCAATTTTACTAGCAAGGTATTAATTTGTTTTGCTTCTTTGAGAAGATTAGATTCGTAATGAAAATCTTTTTCTTGATAATTTGTTGACTAATACATACGTGTATGATTCAAGCTCAAAATTTTGTGTTTATTTTCACAAATCTTGATCACTCGAGCTAATCTAGATTTGTAATTTACCCTTTTTAGTGACATTTAATTGAATTAGCATCTAATCAAGGGTCTCTTTTTTTTAATAAAGTTTAATTAATGAATTCTTTTTTGAATTTAATGGATGTATGCTTTGAAAGTAAGGTTTTAATTTAGAGTGCTTTCGTTCACCCCCAAACCCTAATTAAGATTACGGACAAATCTTAATGACGCGGTTACAATGGTCAATTTGAGTCATATAGATTTAGTTGACCATAGATTGTTTCGATCATTCTCGAAACGATATAATATTAATTAAATTATAGCTTTAATTTCTAAAAAGATAGAAAATATACTAGTTATATAATGATCAATTTTAATATGCGGAATGTGGATTTAGTTAACCATAATGTTTAGCTGTGATTCCTAAAATTTGAAATTATACTAACGAGTATTTAATATTTGGATAACCATAATCTCATTATTTAATTTTATAAGAGTCAAATAATTTGCTAGGTTTATATTGGCTTCAATAAAATAGATTATTTTAAATAAAAATAAGTTATCTATATTCCTCTAACTTGACTTTTACTCTCATTTCACAAGTTATCTCTTTTTTTTATTAAATGTTCTTTTGGATATTTTATTTTAGGGAAAAGGCTGAAAATTATCAATGAATTATTCCATTTGTTCATTTTAGACATTTAATTTAATTTTTTGTCCATCTTTAATGAATTTTTCAAGTGCTTTTAATCAAGTATTGTAGGTAATATCGGTTAAACTTTGGAGAAAATGTTATAAATTACCAATAAAAATAATTACATTTGTTATAAATTACCAATAAAAATAATTACATTTGTCCACTTTTAGTTACTAACTTATTTTATTACACTTTTAGATTTCCAAAATTGTCTTATTTTAGTTTCTTTAACCAACTGAGATGACATTATTCAATGATTTGTAGTAAATTTTAATCAATGTGTTAGAACCTCATGTTTCCTAGAAACGAAGACAACACACGTAACCAATTTGATTCCCTGCCAGACTATTGAATTTGTGCTTTTAAGAGGCTAGATTGTCAAGTCATACCTATAAAAGCCATGTCATCTAAAATCTAAATATTAACAAAGTTTTAATATAGATAATAGAAAATGTCATGTAAGCAGATTAAGGTTTATAGCCAAATAAAATAGTTAAAACAAGATGATTTTGAGAAGTTCATTGCCTAAAAAAAGGATAAAAGTAAGTTGAATAACAAAAAAAGTTGACAAATAGAATAATTCTCTCTGATCATTTATAACAAATTTCTTAAAGTTTGTTCGGTATCACATATATATGTTACTCAGTTAAAGATAGGGGTGAGCGCGGTGCGGTTATTGGCCAAAACCTCACCACTAACCGCAAATGCGGTTAATCTATTTTCAAAACCGTTTGGCGCGGTTGTTTTTGCTGTGCGGTTAGGCAGTTATTTTTGTGGTGCGGTTTTGTTTTTTTTTTTGTGTTTCAGTTATTAACCGTATGAATTTGGTGCGGTTATTTTGTGTGGTTTTTAACTGTAGTTTAGAGTTCAAACAGTTTTAAGAGTTCAAAAATATTACTTGTAATAATAATAAAAAGAATAAGTTATAAAACAATTAACATAAATCACAAACAACTAATATCTTAAAAACATGAAATCACTAATAATTAAAAATAAATATCTTAAAATTGTGAAATTTCACAATTTTCCAAAGTTAAACATTACAAAAACAAACATTTTTGTCTTCTAAAATTTTATCATTCTTTCATCCATGAAACCTGTTTTATTTTTAATAATTAATATATTAATAATTATTAAAAAAATTGTATATAATATATGCGGTGCGTTTTTTTTTTTTTTTTTTTTTTTTTGCGGTTTTTGAAAACTAATAACGCACCGCATCACAAATTTGCGGTTTTTGAAAAACTGAAAACCTCACCATTGGTTTTTATTGCGATTGCGATTTATCGGTTGCGGTTTATGCGGTTTTTGCGATTAAATTTAGTTGCGGTGCAGTTTTTGCTCACCCCTAGTTAAAGAGACTAAATTAGACGATTTTAGAAAATTTATTATCTAAAAATGGGCAAAAATAAATCCAGTAATTAATATTGGACAAATAAAATAATCGTTGGTCATTTTGAACATTTTCCCTCTATTTTATAGTCAAAATGCTATACAAGCAATTACCCAAACATTTTAATCGCTAAATATGTGAACTTCAAAAACATATCGAAACAATATATCTTTTATATATCATCAACTTGTGAGACATGGTTTGAGGTTACTTACGTTTTAAATCATGAGATACATACATGTGAAAAATTGTTAGGTTATATACCTTATTAATTGTGACTTTTTAACTTAACCATAGTGTTCGGAAAAGTAATTACAAAACCATGGTTAATATAATTATGGACCTCTTTTTTATTATTAAAAAAATGAAAAAACACATTACCTCACCACGACCTTTACACTCGAAGGTGTAATCCAAACCGCAGCGTGTGGTATGATGACTTGGCAGGAACCGCACTTAGGAATATCATACATTGGGTGCGGTTTAGCCTTTCAGTTATTTCTCTCTTCTTCTGGTTGGTCAATGCTAGAAAAGTTATTTTTTTTATTCTTTTTTAGTTTTTATTAAATAATGTATATACTAAAAAGTTATAAAAAATATATATATTAAAATTTATGATTTTTAATTCTTTGTAAAAAATTTATAATATTTGTATAAAATATATTTTAAAAATAAAATAAAATAAGAGATGGAGTAAAATGTGATAATTTCCAGGTTTTAAAGAGTAAAAAGATAGTGATGGGAAAATAAGATGACGCACTTATGAAAGTGAAAAACGAAACATAGGTACGCCTCTAGTCTTAATTGACACTATTTTTACTCTTCTCATCCTCTTCTACCAGCCACTACCACTGTCCGGCTTCTCTTCCATCGCCGACCATCATGTGCCATTTCCATGTTCATCTCATCCATTTCGAAGGAGATAAATGTATCAATTCTTCACACTCAAAAGCTCACTGGTCTTTTCTCTTATTTTTTTTTTTTGGAAAATAGCAAACGGTTTTAATATGTAATAATTTCTTAAAGTTTTTTGCTATATGTTCTTGAATTACCAGCATTATCGTTGTGCTCCCTCCTTCCTCGTCGTTTCTTGAATTACATGCATTGTTGTCAACCCCAATCAAGAACCATTAACAGAAACCCTTCATTACCAAAAAGATTCTCAAAGGGTGAGCTTCTTCTCTAGAAGCGTTTTCATGGAAATATCTAGTTTACTGGGCTTGGATCTCGTGGCCTTGTGTCATTTTTCCAGAATTTGTTCATTGGATTGGAAACTTGTTGTCGTTTCATCTATTTATCAATCTAGCAACATCGTGAATGTTTACGATCCCGCTTAATTAAGAGTCTAGTGGCATCTTCATAAGAACTTTTGCATCCATTGCAAAAACTCTTTTGATATTTGAAAGGTGCATACTCAAATGCGAAAAAACTTGAAAAACAAAGGTTAGCTGTTATGTTTGAGAGATTGACATCGTCACTTCATAGTATTTCAAGAACAACAAAAGTGCAAGAGAAAGAACAAGTCAGAGATGGCATCGTGGTTATCTCCGGTAGAGGTGAATGAGAAAGAGTAAGAAGACGTTGGCAATGTGTGGTGGTGGGAAAGTGTTTTTCATTTTTTAATGAAAAATATGAGCTCCATAATTATTTCAACTCTGTTATCATAATTAGGTTTAAAAATACTATTGTTTGGTAAATAAGTTTTTTAAGTATTGGTTTAGTTAAAAAATTAATAAATTGTCAACATAAAATTTCGAAATATTCAGTAAAAATAAATTTTCAGTTCATTTTAATAAAACATTATATGAAATAATAGACAAAAAAGTTATTATATATACAAAACAAAATAAGAAGTTGTAAAATAATAATTGTTATTTTAAAAATAAAATAAAAATATGGATATACTACAAGCATAGTTGGCCATGGCCTGTTGCTCCATGCTTTTGAGTTTAGGCCCATGGGCAGTTCCATGCCTGGCCTGGCTTCTTATGTGTTAAAAGTCCTTTTTTGCTAGGTAATTTGTTTAACAATATTTGTAATGCGTACAATTTTATTCTTCATTTAGTTCAATAGAAGTGTTTATATTATGAATTGATTTTATATTATATCTCAAAATTATTATTTTTAGGTTATATACTCTTCTTATTAAGTTAATATATTTAAAAATCACTATAACGTTATACAGTTTTCTTTTTACAAAAGTACATATAAAAAAAATTATATAAGCTTAAATACTAAAAGAAGACTGATGTTGTGGGGGGATCGGTTTAAGACCAATTGCAACCATAGTTGTCATACATTACAACCTTTGTATGCATCTTAAAACCAAATTTTATGTAACTCTGACATTGATAATAAATACGAGTAAATGAATGATAATTTTATTGTTGCTAAATGTTGTTATTATATATGTATCAAATCATAGATTGTAATTTATTTGTTATAAAGTTACTAATGATTTGATAATTATATACAGGTCGGCTAAACAGTTCAATAACTCTATGGCAGCTCAAAATTCTTGGCCTCTTGATTACCCTACCCTTTTTTCCATTTGTTTTAGTACTTTTTTCTATCATACAAATGTAATATTATTTCACTTCTTAAACTCTTTATTTCATTTCATATCTAACTAGTATTTTGTAAATTAATTGAATAGATAATTGCACTCAAAACAATATATTTGATTCATATATATGTAAATAATAATATATAAACATGACATGACTCACATTTTGGTATGTGTGAAAATCTATAAGGAACAACATAAAGCGATATGACACACTTATTGATCTAGACCACCCATGAAACCTAAAAGTGGAATTCTAAAAAGGTCTTATATTCAAAAACCTATAATGTTTACCCTAAGGCCCAAAATATACCGTGTGAGACTGTAGATATAAATTTACCCTTTTTAAGTACTTAGTGCTCTATGGGTCAATATTATCATGACCATTCTCTGTGATTGACCACGAAACGAGGCTATTGACATGAATCGTATAAGCAGATTGATGAATTGGAAAAATCTCCTTCTTGACCACAACTTTTCGCATTTGTTCCTTTTCAAAATCAAAAGCGAAAACCGAACCATCTTTATCCATGAAATATATCTCCCATTTAAATTTTGGAAAATAAAGAGGGATCAAATCTCGTATACACCCAACTCCAATCGTATATATATTTTTCCATTCTCCCAATAAACTCTCCAATATCCAAATGCTTATTTCATTCATTTCTTCATGTGCCACGAAACAAAGACATCCAGACACTTCCATTATTCTATCATTGAATCTACTAACTTTTGGAAGCTCGATCTTGTAAAACTTCTCATCATCTATAGTCATCGAGACTATGTATTCACTATGATCAATTTCAGGAACCCAATGTAATGCACCAATTGCAAAAACCGGTTCGTATCCAAACCATTTCAAGAGCCCAAAAGATGGCCCATCGATTACCCTCCATGATCTTTCACCAATTCTTAGAACTTCACACCCAATGAACTGTGATTCATCACGAAACAAGTGAATTAGTTTGTACCCTTGTGTACAATTCACAAGCGCGAATGATTCTTCATGTGAAGGGTATATCGTGCCTAAAGGAAGCAAATCCAGTTCACGAGTGACCGGATTCATGATCACCAATTCACCTTTCTTTAATATGTTATCGATCACGATTAAACCATCGCAGGTTGCTCTAATTTTGCCCAAACAAGTGGCGTTAAACTCACCTATTGTTGTCTTCCCATCGGCTAACATCATGTATCTGATAGCATACTTTGATGATGAGGCGATTAGAGGTCGATGAAGCACATGAACTGATTTCAGATCGAAGATCTTGGCTTCAACAGAAAACGTATTAGTGTTTTCTCGGAAAACTGAATCTTTATCAGACCAGCGAGAAACAAGATTGAAGGGGCTCAAGAATATCAAGACCTTCTCGGCTTGTTGAAGATTGTCGTGAACGAATGTACGGCTGTTGATGATGCTATACCATGGCTTGCAAACGAATCTGGATCGTTGAAGTGATTCGAGAGGTAATCGGATAAGGATATTGGATACGCAATCTTTTGGAAGATAAGGTACAGAATCTAGCCGTTGCTTTTGTTTTCCTTCCTCGAGTTGTTTCTTCAACGTAGCTCGTTCTTCCGCTAACTTCAGTAAGCTCATCGCTTTGCTAGCTTTCTCCGCCATTTTTACTCGATCTGCTGCACGGATTTAGGAAATTCTGACGAGGGTGGGCTAAAAACAAGCAAATTGTTTAATAGAAACATAAAAATCCGATCTTTTTCTATAAAAATACCTCGATCATGAGTGATTGGATTGAAGAACTGATTGGAACATAAACATCTGAATACTTATTTGGATCTTTACATTGGATTGACTGGTAACGTATAAGAACTGAAATAAAAGAAGTCGTCCACAGAAAGTGGTGAAGACGGAGTGGGGTTGGTGTGATGTTGAGATTCTCTTCTTTTAGACAAAATTGCAAAAATGGTCCCTGTTTGTCAAAATTATGTCGTTTTGGTCCAAAAAAGTTTGGTGGTGCATCGGTGGTCCAATTTCGGATACTTTGTGCGATTTTGGTCCTTATAGTTAGCATTTTTGTGTGATTTTGGTCTATACCCAACCTAAAATGACTAATATGCCCTTAAAATTATTTTTTGCTATTTGTTTTAATTGAATTCTAATTCCTTTAATTAAACGAAAACAAAAAATATATATCACCCCACGAATCTCTCTCTCACACACAGAACTAAACTTTTTAGATCAAACATTCACCCAAAAAAAATCATCAGTGTTCTTCAATGTGTTCATCAAAAAAACAAAAAAAATTATCAACGATTTCCATTTTATGATAAACAAAAAACTCCTCGTTATCTTCAACAGCTAATCATCAACAAACTTTTCAGATCACACAACTCAGATCTCAAATCGATGTACCCCTCCTTCTCTCACAATCACAGGTCCTCTCCTTCCAGTTCTAGCTTCAATCGACGACAACCACGACCCTCCCTTCCTCCTATTCTGTTCTGATTTGATTCTCACCCTACCTTCTTCGATTCAGATCACACGAGCTTGGTGATGGTGTGTCTGGTGGTGCTGATTGGAATTCTGTGGTAAATCAAGAAGAGATTAAGGCCGGTGAACATGAGAGAAGAAGGTGAGGAGGGCTGATTAGAAGGTGTGGTGACAGGATGGTTGTCGGATCTCCATTACTTCTCACCATTACCGAACCTCCATCATTGCCCACCATGGAGCTTTCAAACGACTGTATAAGCAGAGCAGGAGCTTTAAAATGACGGTGGAGGCAGATTAGGAGCTTTAAAGCGACATAGAAGTTCAATCAAACAAAACAGAGCATCGAAAAACTAACTTAGAAGATGGATGAGATGGAGCCCCTGTGGAGGAAGAGAAGCACGATCTGACGCAAGCCCTAATTTTAGGATCTGAAACCGCTTGCTTAGAGTAAACTGCAAATGGGAGAAGGCCACCGAAACCCTAGAAGAATCGGGGGTCAAAGGGAACCGGTGATGAAGGATGCTGGTTCCAGATAATGTTAGTTCCAGATATCAATGATGAGGATGGAACCGGTGATGAAGGGCTTCTTTAAGATAAGAGTGGGGAATGAGTTATTTGTTTTTATTATTTTTGTTTTAAGTTAAAAAGATATAAATTAAATTTGTTTATGTATTTCAACAACTAAAGAAAATGAAAAATGTAAATTATAAGGGCATAACCATCATTTTAAGTGTATAGGGACCAAAACCAATAGAAAAATCTAATTTTGGACCAGTGGTGCACCAACATTTCGTTTTGGACCAAAATCACATAAATTTGCCAACCACAGGGACCATTTTTGCAATTTTGTCCTTCTTTTATCTTTTATAAATTATATTACATTTACTCCTCGTAACCTGATGTCGCGAACTCAATTGCCTATCGTATATTGACGATTTAATCAATTACTTACTACATATAGGTTAATATAGGAGACACATAATTTACGCATAATTTATATCCAAAGTTGTGATTGTCGGGGTCGGAATAAACGTGGGCCCGTTGCTTGCCGTCGGTCTTTCAGCATGTACGCAGTGCGAATAAAACTAAGATATTTGTTCACCAAGTCACGCCGTGAAGATTCGGTTGTCCGAATTGCCGGATTTTGGGTTATTCGGTATGAGGTTAATTGGATCAAATATCAAACCGTTCAAATAGTCATTTAAATAAGTAGCTAAATTAGATATAAGATTTTGACAAAATTGCAAAAATGGTCCCTGTGGTTGACAAAATTCTGTAGTTTTGGTCCAAAATGAAATGTTGGTGCACCACTGGTCCAATTTTAGATACCTTGTGTGGTTTTAGTCCCTAAGGTTGTATTTTCTTGTGTTTTTGGTCCACATCCCACCTAAAATGACTAATATGCCCCTTAAATAATTATATTTTAATTTCTTTTATTTATTTTCTTATTCTTCTAATAAAATGAAAAACAAAAACAAAATAAACTCTCTCTCTCTCTCTCTCTCTCAATCTTCATCTGCCATGAACCATGGGCTGTAGTGGTGCGTCGGTGAGCCACCAAGACAATAGCCTCATCTCTCGCACTTTTCTTCTCCTCCCGTCGAGCAAACTCCACCGAACCCCCACCTGCTTGCCTTGTTCCACCGGACCATTCTTCTGTCCACCTTTCCTTCAAGTTTCATCGTTGGTTGTCGCCTCCGTTCTTCTTTCTTCGAGCGACCCAAGGCCGACAATTCTGCTTTGCGTCTCTCAGATCGCTGCCGAAGACGAGGAAGAAAAACCCACGAAGGGTCACCAGTCTCGAAGAAATGCTTCATCCCTTTCGACTGCTTTGTTCGTCCCCTCTTTATCCCGATTAAAACAAGAGACAGGGGCTTATGAGCCCTAATTTCATTAAGCTCCATTCCAACACCTGCACAACCTTATTCCATCAAAGGTTCAAACCTGCACTAGAAAAATCTCAATCCTCCGGCCACAACGAGATCTGAAAAATCTAGATCCGACGATAGGTCCGACGATATTTGGGTTTCAGATCTAAGAAAGAGAGGCGTGGTTGCAAATGGATGGAGGCAAGCAGTGAACAAATGGTGGCGAACAGTGGCGGCAATCGGTGGTGATGGTGGCGGCAGTCGATGGTGATGGTGGTGCCAATCGATGGAAATGGTTTTTGTGTTCTTGAGTTTTCATCAGATACAAACCTAGAGAGAGAGAGGGAGAGAGAGAGAGGTGGGTGGGCCTTTTTCTCATTTTAAATTAATTAAAAACATTTATATAAATACAAATATATATATATATATATATATATATATATATATATATATATATATATATATATATATAAGGGGCATTAAGGTCATTTTAAGTGTATAGGGACAAAAAACAATAAAAAGATCCAATTTTGGACCAGTGGTGCACCAACATTTCATTTTGGACCAAATCCACATAATTTGCCAACCACAGGGACCATTTTTGCAATTTTGTCTAAGATTTTGAGAAATCGAGAATAGTGAACATTGGTCATGAGATCCTAACAAACTTACACGTAATGACTACACAACTAATGCCGTGGGAAATGGTCACAACCAAACCACTAACCAAACCACTGAAAAACTCTCTCAGCACCACATCAGCTCCACCACCAACCTAACACCAATTAACTAGACATTGGAAATGATTACTACTCAACAATATTCATTTTTTTATTTTTTATTTTTTTAATATTAAATTAAATAAAAAACATAATTTAAAACATAATAAAATATTTTACATTAATTAAAACCACATTACATTAGTTAAAAAACATAGAAAATTAAAACTAAAAAATAGAAAACTAAAAACTAAATTATTAAAAAAAACATAAAAAAACATAGAAAATTAAACCTAAATTACTAAAAAACATAGAAAATTAAACATAAATCACTAAAAAAAACATAGAATCTAGTTGCAATATTTTTCGAGAAGTTGTTGAATTTTTAAAAACGCGCTTAAATTTTCCGGGTAGAGATCCGGTTGCGGCTTCGTGTTTAAAATTTGAAGATCGGTGAGTGCCATTTTTCGCCGACGAACTTCCTTCGTTGATTCATTTTTTTTTCTAAAAAGCGTAGAGTTTTGTCTATTTTGTCTGCTAGTACGTCCTCGTTGGTTGATTTTTCGCTTGAAGATACCCCCTTTATCGCTTTGTCCCTTCCCGATGGCCGACGAAGTTGGACGTTCGGTGGACCCTCCCCCTCGGTGGCGTTGAACTCATCATTTAGGTCGAGGCTAACACCAATGTCCAACTCGGAAGTTCTTACCCTTTTGTTGGAGCCGATGGTAGATCCCGAATGCAACGTATCTGGATAAATGACCCATTTTGGACCATTACGCCAAACTTCCCATGCTTTTTGGTTGCCGAATGGTTTACCATTGTTGGTAATTTTGTATTGGTACAACGCGGTTGCTAAAATGTTGAAATTGTTGTTACCACTTCTATGCATATTTTTAAGATTGTCAAACACGCCGTTAAATTTGGTGCAATCCGCTCGAAGGTCACGTCATTTTGCGTTGACCGTGTCGTATGTCCGGTTTGTTTTCCTTCCTAATAACCTGTGGAAGTGGTCTAAAACATGATTCCAAAAACATTGACCCGTTTGGGCGTAGCCGACATCCCCGTCTTGTGATATGAAAATCTAAGCTTTAGCTAAAGCTTCATCCTCCTCTTCAATCCATTGCGTAGTTTTCTTTTTTCTTGGATCTTTTGATTTTTTGTGCCTTCTACGACTTTGTTGTGTTTCTTCAACCCGTTCGTCGTCGTCGTCATTGTCAAGGTTTATATGTTGGGATTGAGATAATGGAACTTGAGATGGTTGTGAAGGTTGTGCGTGAAATTGTTGATGTTGAGAAGTTTGGGATTGAAAGGCTTGAAATTGGGGTTGATTGAATTGTGGTGGCGTTTGTTGTTGGTAGTAGTTTGGGTGGTATGGAAGATTGGTGAAGAGAACTTGTTGTTGGAGTGGAGATGTTATCAATTGCATGTAACTAAGATTTGGAAATGGATCATTTGGAGTGTTTGGGGGTGAGTGAGGTATTTTGATTTGGATCCATAGATAGAAGATAAAAAAAATATGAGAAGAAAGTGTTTTTTGTAGTGTAAAATGTTAGTAAAATAATGGGTATATATAGTTGTAGTCGATAGGTTTTTAAATTGTAAAAAGAATTTTTTTTAATATGTAACGGTAAGAATTTGGTCAAAATGACCGTTGCCAACTTTCCCCTTCTCCCATTGGACGTCTCCTATCGTCTTCGAACTCACGCCACAGGCAGAGCACAGGCCCCTAGGGGCGGTGCTCACGCGTCTTGGGGGCTCCATGTCAGCCTCTCATGCATCTTCTTGCTTCCACTTCGGGCAGCCTAACAAACCGTCCATGTGGTTTTAGGTAATTTGCGCGTTTCGCATTATATGTAGGAAGGTAAGTAGGAGGATATTTAATTTCTATTTCATCTCTCCCGTGACATCCTCACACATTCATCAGATACCTCATTTCTCATCTCGCTATACCTTTATCTATTTATTTAATTATTTTGTTTATTATTAACTTATTAAAAAAATTATAAAAAATTGTTTAATAGGCACCATTTCATCTCAAGAAATTAAATATCATTTTATATTTTCTTCATACTTATCTTGTTACCCATGTAAAATGGTAACATGTGTCATATTTTGATAAAATTAGTAATATTTTAATATACTTGTCATCATTTCAAATGGAAAGGTATATATGTAGGAAGGAAAGTAGGAGGATATTTAATTTCTCTTTCATCTCTCCCATGACATCCTCTCACATTCATCAGATAACTCATTTCACAGGAGAAAACGTACCCCTTTTGCCCCATTTCTTCATCGTCACCTCACTTCTCCGTTTTTGATTCTTGCGACCGGCCGTCACCGCCACCATTAAAATTTATTTCTAACCCAAGATCCATCTCTTGTCAACCCAAGTACCCAAGCATCATTAGAAACCATTCACCATTAAAATTTATTTCTAACCTGTAATGACGTAAAATTTTCAAACCAATTTTTTTTCATTTTTAAATCACATAAAACTCATATATTATATATCATAAAAATCATAAGTGTCTCAAAGTCAACATAAATCCACGACAAAAGTCAAATCCCAGAATCCTCAACATAATCTCGAACAGATGTGTACAATCATGTCAGTGCCTTCCCGCGATCCTCTGAGGTACCTGAAACAC